GGTACTTGTGTGACTGAAATTGATTTGGAAGATCATTTATCTGGTATGACTGTAACACCTTCTGCAATACTGTGAGTTCTTTAAGCTGTTGATCGTATTGGTTGTTGCGTACCGTTGACAGTGTACTGTTGCCGCTGTAAGCATCTGATGTCTTCATAGGGGGTTGTAGCCTTAATTCGGAGATTGTACCAAGACTACTGTATGAATATCTTGACGTGCTTGCAATTATTTGTTGTCCTTGCACGGAAACAAAGTTGTGTTTAAGCACGCAGTCTGGATCGATCGTCAATAAACCTGAACCTTTTAGATTTAGTGGTATGATTTCCTTATTACATACTGCAGTTGCTCGTGAAGATGTTGATGTCGCATAAATCCATTGATTTTTGTGATTCAAGGGAATCCAGGTCAGCTTGTTGATAGTGTGTTTCAACCGACAATTTGGTATTGTGTTGTTGTTGAATAGGTTGACCTCACACGCACATACTTCGGAACCAAAATTGTATCGTATACGGACGTTGGTGCAAAGAAATTCCTCTTCCTTAATGGTCTCACAAAGACTTAATTCGGATTTTATAAGAGGAAAATATTGATCATGCTGCGTATTAATAGCCAAAATAGAACTGCAGGAATCAATTACCGTCATGGAGTCATTTACCCAGTTCGGGATTGGAATTAGCTGAAACAATTCAAATCGTTCATGTTCAATCAAGGGTAGTGTTATACTAAAAACTGCATGCTGCTGTGTGATTCCACCTTTAACCTTCATTAGTCTGTAAAGGGATATTAACTCATCTTCTGGCATCGGTAATTCTAATGATGGTGATAAATGATGTTTGATTTGATTAACTTCCTTTTGTAATTGTGTTGGTGTCAATAACAATGGATTCACTTTTCCATGATGAGTATCAGTTAGAGCATCTATAATGGCAGATTGTATCTTCTGTAGATTATGTGCTACCAGTGTTAATTGAATGGCTCCTGCATTGAAAACTTGATTGAGCCGTAATTGATTTACCTCTCTATTTGTATCTTTTATTGAATTTATCAATGCGTTTATTTCATTGTCAATGTGGTCAAAACCTTCTTGAACTGCTATTTTATCTTTCTTCATTATGTTGATTGTTGAATCGACAACTGATGTCTGATTCTTAAATAGCGTCAATAATTGTATTTCATTTTGTTTCACTTCTGTAATTATATTTGACATTCCTTTGGCATATTCTGAGTCTAATACTCCAAACAGCGAATGTGCAATATTGCCTACAAGATCAATTACTCCTCTTTTGAAGCGATGATCATGAAGTAATTTATCATCGAGTTGTAGTTCGGATTCAATATGTTTAAAGTGATTAACTGTATTCGCACATGATGCGTTTGGTTTCATTTGTTGACAAGCTTGATGTAGCGACATTATTCCTGTGTTTAGAGCTGCTGCTTCCATCCAATAAAGACTTAAATCATAATAAACTAGTAGATTCCATTCAGTGGTTGATATGGCAGTTGTGCCCAGATTTTCAAAGTGAATACCCAATTTTGTGCCAAACCTTTTATTGTCAATTGGAGATCCTATTATTATTGGCAATATCAGTAATAGTGTAAGTAATACAGAACAGTACAAATTGGTCGGCAGTTTTCTACGTTTTGTCTTGGGCTCTTCATACGATTCTTTTTTATCTTCAATAATTACGTTGTCAAGAGGTATTTCGTGATCAGCTTCAGCCATTGTTGGTTGATCATCTGTATTAACAGGCAGTACAGCTATTCGATGAATTGGGCGTTTAAAAATGCCTGTAGATGTTGTAACGTCAGCTACTCGGATACGTCCATCTGTACCCTTGTACACATGCACAATTCGTCCCAAGGGCCACTGCATCACTGGGACGTTATCTTCTTTGATTATAACCATGTCTCCTAACTGTATATTGGCAGATTGTGTTTTCCATTTGTTACGTTGTTGCAGTTCCATCAAATATTCGTTAGACCAGCGTTTCCAGAAATTATGTTTTAACTGGGAAACTAGGTTCCAACGTGACAATAACGTGTGTTTTTCTGGTTTCGATCGGCTGTCTACATGAGTTGTAAGTGCTTCTCCAATTAATAAGTGTCCTGGAGTTAATGCTGTCAAATCAGTTGGATCATTGGACATTGGAGTCAATGGTCGTGAATTTAATATCGCTTCAATTTCCACCACTACTGTTTCGAGTTCTTCATACGTCAATGATGCTGTTGAAACGCTGCGTAGTAACAAATATTTTGCGGACTTTACGGATGCTTCCCATAAACCGCCAAAGTGTGGAGCCCTTGGTGGAATAAAATGAAAATTTATTCCTGTGGTACTGCAGGCAGAGATTATTGCTTCTTGTCCTTCATTAGAATAAATGCTTTCTTCTAATTCTGCTAACTGGTTTTTGGCGCCTACGAAATTTGTTGCGTTATCACTGTAAATATTCAAACAACGCCCTCGTCGACTTATAAATCGTTTTAATGCTCCAATGAAAGCATTTGTTGATAAGTCGGTCACTAACTCGAAATGTACCGCCTTTGTAGAAAAGCAACAAAAGACAGCAATATATGCCTTTGTTGGCTTTTTGCCCCTCACTTTGTAGTGGATCCAAAATGGTCCGCAATAATCTACACCAGCATTAATGAAGGGTCTTGCAGGAGTTATTCTTGATTCTGGTAAATTGCTCATAATTTGTTGACATAGTTACGGACGTGCTTTGTTGCATCGAATGCATCGCTGAACCGTTGCTCGGGCTGTTGATTTACCTTTAATCGGCCAAAAACGTTGTCGGACTGTACTCAATAGTGCCTGTGGGCCACAGTGTTTGTTTTCTTCATGGAACATTACGAATAATAATTTTGCCAATGGATCATTGTATGGGATCAGCATTGGGTGTTTAGAATCGTATGGTAATGATGAGGCTTCTAAGCGTCCTCCTACTTTAAGAACATTTGCATTATCAGTGAATGGAGATAAACTACTGATTGAACTAGATTTGTCAACATGACCTTGTTTCTTCAGTTGTTTGATTTCTTCATGAAAATCATTACCCTGAATGTGACATATTATAGTTATTAATGCTGCATCCAATTCGTTGGCACTAAGTACTATATGTGTGGCACGTGACTCCTTTGATTTTCTTGCATTGTTAGTGAATTTAAGAACATATGCTACTATCTTTTGTAATTTCTTAAATGAATTCTTGTGCTGAATCCTGTATATGAAATCTGCGTCATTGCATTGAGTTGCTACAGCTACAACCTTTTTCTTCTCCAGATCAACTGGAACTTGTAATGATGATGAAAACCTTGGTGGCCATACTTCCTGCCTTCCATGCAAAAAGAACGGTCCTTGAAACCAAAGTGCACATGTTGACAACGCCCTTGCTGAAAGTCCTCTTGATAACACATTAGCTGGGTTGTCCTTTGATCTAACATGTCGCCACTGTTCAAACAGAGTTAAAGTTTGAATTCTTGCCACCCTGTTAGCTACAAATGTTTGAAATGATAAGGACTGTGAGTTGATCGAAGACAACACAATTTCTGAATCAGTCCACAAAAATACCGGCTGGTCCTTCTCTTGAAGATCGCTTTTCACTCTTGCTGAGAGTTCCACTGCTAAGACTGCAGCACATAGCTCTAGTCGCGGTAGCGTTTGTTTTTTGAGTGGTGCTACTCTTGACTTTGCACATAATAGTCGCAATATTATTCTACCATCTTTTAAAATTGCTCTGACATACACTGCAGCACCAAATGCCTTTTCAGATGCGTCAGCAAAAATATGTAGCTGTGTTGATGATGGAACCTCGCCTCTGAAGATATGTCTTGCCACCTGAAGATTTTCAAGATTACTTAAGTTTTCTCTAAATGTTGACCATGTTGTACGAAGATCTGTAGGAAGTGGTTCATCCCAAGATAATTTCAACTGCCATAAGTGTTGTATGAAAATCTTTGCCTTCACTATTACTGGAGCTAATAACCCAAGTGGGTCGAACAGTCTAGCTAAATCAGAACTAACGACTCTCTTCGTGATTATACCTTCAGTAACCATTTTGACCTTAATTCCAAATAAATCCGCTTTGGGCAACCAAAATAGTCCCAGCGTTTTGATTGACTCGTTATTATCATTAGTAAAATCTAGATTTACCTCTTGATCATCTTGAGAAATGTTTTTCAAAAGTTGAGGATGATTTGAACTCCATTTCCGTAGATAAAACTGATGCTTCTTTAAAATATGGATTAATTGCCTTTGAGCTTCAATAGCCGTAATTAAACTATCTGATCCACCGAGCTCATCGTCAACGTAGAAATTGTCACACAGGATTTGAGCTCCCAATGGATAATTCACCTTGTTTTCTGATGCTATCTTTTGCAGACATCTTGTTGCTAGGTAAGGAGCTGCTCGAGTCCCATATGTAATTGTGTTTAGCTGATAATAACGAATCGTTGAATTTGGACTGCTTCTCCAAATGATAAGTTGATAGCGTCGATCTTCAGGATTTATCAAAACTTGACGAAACATTTTCTCGATATCTGTGGTAAAAACAAACCGTGGTCGCCTAAAACGGAGCAGAATTGAAAAGAGTTCACTTTGAACTGTCGGTCCGTTATACATTAAATCATTCAACGAGTGTCCAGATGTAGTTTTGACTGATGCGTCAAACACCACTCGAAGTTTAGTAGTTGTACTATCTAGTTTTAGTACGCAATGATGAGGAATGAAATATCTTGGAGTCAACATGGAATCCAAATTTACTTAAGTCATGTGACCCAATCGCTCATATTCTTCCATAAACTGCACATATTGTTTCCGCAAAACATCATTTTTTGCTAGTCGTCGTTCAAGACTGATGAACCTTCTCCAAGCTGTTTCTTGAGATTCCCCTAACGTCAATGAGTTTTCCAGAAACGGCAACCTTACCACAAAACGTCATTCTTTATTTGTATGGACGTTCTGCACAAAATGAGATTCGCATAATTTTTCTTCTTTGGATAATGTCCTTTCTGTTGTAATCAACTCGTCCATTCGCAATAAACGTTCAATTGCATCTTCTAACGATAAATTATTATCAACAACCTCCGCCCCACCGCCAAAAACTGCACATAAAACGTTTGATGTGTCTGTATTTGATGCAACCTTGCCACTGACAATCCAGCCAAGTGTAGAATTTTGCAAGACTGGAAGCCCAGGAGCAAGCGTTAATTTACCTTTCTTTAACAGACTAAAATATAACTCCGCACCGAGTAAAATATCAATTTTCCCTTGTTGGAACAATGTTGGATCTGCTAACTGAATGCTGTTCGGTACCTTCCATTTGGAAATATCGTAGCTGCAACTTGGTTGAGGTGGAACTATATTTGGAAGCACAAACGCTTCGACTTCTGTAGTAAAACTTGAGTTAAGTGATTGCAATTTGATGTTAACTCGCTGCGTTGAATTTTTTTGCACCTTTCCTATCCCTTCTATGCACAATAACGATTTTATTTTTGATATATTGAGTCTTTTGACAGAACGCTCAGAGACTATGTTCGTTTGCGAACCAGAGTCTAGTAATGCTCGGACTTCACTTGTATTTCCATTAGATGCAATTATTTGACTCTTGCAGTTGGCAAGAGAACATAATCACGATGACCTGTGGATGCGTTTGCTGTCGCTGTGGTAACTGCGGTGTTGTACCCACTTGAGCTAGGTTGAATGTTCTGTTTTGTTTGGTTGTTAACTTCCAAATGTAGTAACGTGTTATGCTTTTTATTACATTTGGTACAACTTCTTGATGAACATTTGTTCACCACATGATCATTTCTGAAACAGTTAAAACAGAGCTGTTGATTTTTCACCCAATCCAATCGTTGAGATGGTGAAAATTGCAAAAATTTACGGCAATGATACAGTGGGTGCCTGTCTACATTGCATAGTTTGCAATTGTTGTTTCCTTTAGAAACTGTTACAGCCGATGACACTGAGTTATTTCGATTTGCTTTAATTTTTATAGCCACCTTATCTTTTTGTTCTACAACTTCCATCACTTGGAACTGTAGTTCTAAAAAAGCTAAAAACTCCTGAATGTTTTGTATCTCTTTTGGTTTTGCCAGAGATTGCTCATATCTAATGAGCATCGCCCGATCGAGTTTTTTAATTAGTACCTGTAACAAAATTGGGTCCCAAAAAGTCGTTTGAACGCCAAGATTGTTTAGTGCTAATAGACACTCTTTCGTTGTGTCATGTAAATTTTTAACTGCTGCCACAGTTGATGTGCCTGATGGCTGATTTAGAAGTTCATCGATTAACGTGGACGCCAAGACCCTTTTATTATTATAACGGTCTTGCAGTAATGTCCAAGTTGCCGAATAATTGTCCTCCGTTATGCTGAAATGACTTATCAATTTTTCAGCTTGACCTGTCACATGTGATTTCAAATACCACATTTTTTGAGCAGCTGGTAGTGGCTGATTGTCTACCATTTATGTAAACAAGTCAAAAATTGCCTTCATTTTAAGTAATTCCCATTAACTTGGGATTAACTTGGGAACTTGGGATTGTTACCTTTGGCAATGGCAGTGAGGACCGCATGTTTGGTTCTGCTACTGTTGCTTGTTTCTGTTGTAATTGATCCAATTTTATGGATAACTCTATCAAACATTGTTGTACCAAATCTTCAATTTGGTAATACTCATCTTGATTGAATCCTGACATCAGTGGATTTTCAAAGTTTTCCCAGAGTTCATCATGCAAACATACCAATTGGTTCCAATGTTGCATGATTGTGTTTGATTTAATTTCGTAATATTGAAGTGGTTGAATGCCTTCGCTCTCTGACAAACTCTCTACTAATCTTTTTAGAGCTGCCATTCGAGCAGATATTTTTCTTATCAAACCATTTGTCGTAGCCACTAGTTGCGGCTGTGATGCCATTTGGTTACTAGCAGCTTCACCAACGTTGTCTGCTGCTTTGATCCGAAGGGCTTCTGTCTTGAATATTTCACTGTATTCATTTGTTAGTTCTCTTATTTTCTCGTAATAGGAAGATGTAAAATACTCATCATCTGTCGGTTGATCGATGAGAGTTCTGAGCATTGTGTCGTTTGTTCAAACTGCTTTCAAGCAACATCAAACCGAGGAAATCTTTCACTGTAGTATGCTGATGTTTGCTTGCGTTCAGCCGAATCCTTTTTGAAGTTCCTGATGATTCGCTGAATCTCTTCGCCCTTTTCTTTTTGGGCATCTATGAGTTCATTAAGAGTTGTCATTGATGATTTGTAGTTTTTTGCCAAATGTGCTTAAAAATGTTCTTCGAATGCTGAATGCTGAAACTTAACCGCTGAGTGTTGATTGTTGACTGTTGCTGCGTCAAACCAGTCCTGTGCTGCTGTCCGTTTCACGGGGTCACCAAAATGTACGGTCACCAAACGATACTCCAACACCGACATTCCCAACAATCACGTCGGGGTCACCAAAATGTACGATCACACCGAAATGTATGATCACACGCTGAATCAAAATTTGAAATTAACTGTTTGCAAGTACTGAACTCTTAAATCCAGTACTTATGTTGATTTATTTGAACACGAGAACCACTGAACACTTGAACCCAGTGATTTGACGATTGTCCTAAATTATCCTGATTACTGAACACTTGAATCCAGTAGGCAGGTGCTTATATGGTGTAAATTTGGTACTTGAACCAACTCTACAAGCTATTAGAACGAACAAAAAAGAATCGATAACGAATGTGGCTTCGCATCAATTGAATTGTCAAAAATTCAATTGTGCCTTTTATTTAAAATTGATAATTAATTTACAACAAATAAATTAACTAAAATAACCTTGACCATGCATGCCAAACAATGAACTTATTGCAAACTGCAAGAGTGCATTTTCTTGCAGACGAAATTTGACGCTTTTGTTTTCATGTGCCACAGAAGCGTATGACGTATTTTGGGCATTGCATTGACAACGTTATTTTTTACACCAAATATATTTAACACAATTATTACAATACAAATAATAATAACAAATTTTTCATACAAAATTAATAAAAACAAAATATTCATATATAATAATATAAAATAATATAAACAAATATTCAACAGTTTTTTTTTTAAATATTTTAAGTCTAAATATGGTTTCCATTTGTAATAAAACATTCTTGATCTGAACGCCTTATCATTAGGAAAGACATCATTATTTGATAATACAATTATTGGAGTTCTTAAAGTAACTGCATCATTACAATATTTTATTTTCGCTGATACAGTATCACCTCGAAATAACATTTTTAAAGTTTCTGTTGCAGATGATTCTAATATTGGCTCATTCCATAAAATAATTCTTCTATCAACACATTCCATTAATGGAAAATTGCAATATCTATTAAAATTACCTACTTGTCCAAAATTTAAACAATAATGAATAAAAGCATCAAAAAAATAGTTTTTACCAGCATTTGGTGGACTTAAAATAAACATAGTATTTTTTTTTGGTATTATTTTATCAATTACACAATATAAATTGTTTAAAAATTTTTCAATTTCTTCCATATTATTATAAAATTGAAATTTTAATAAATTTTCTAAAACTTCAACGGATTCATTAATATTATAATAATAATTTGATACATTTGTTATAGAAGCATTAAATATTAAATTTTGTGGTTCTACAGTACTTAAATACAAATATAATTCATTAAAATTGAAATTATTAATATAATTATGAATTATTCTAATACAATTTTTAATTAAAATAGAATTAATATCGCAGAAACGAAATTCAGATTCTAACCAAACTGACGTATTTAATATGTGCTGAATTGGTGCTGTAGGATGTTGCTTTAAGAAATTTATTATTTTGTCACCCTTTCCTCTTTTTCTGTTCCGGGAATGTTGTTGATCTGTTTCGAAGCAGCTAGTAACAGTTTCATTACTAATTGATAATTGGGATCCAACGGAGATTGTAGAATGAACGTCGATCTGTAGTTGGCTTCCTTCCACCATTCCGTTTTCGGCTTCTTGCAAATCTTGGAAAAATCAAACAAATCCAACTTCACTACCTGGAAACCACGTTCTCTCGGCGAAGTTGACGTACAAGTATACCCTTTCATCTTTTTGCAAATAGACTGCGAGATAGAGCCAATGCTCGATCGAAAACTTCCAGCTGAAAAAGACTCGTCGAGCAAATCTTCTATTGATTTGTTGTCGTTCAAGATATTTGGTAAATGAACATCTGCAGGAATTGTTGGAATAACTGCAGTCGTGGACAACGTGAATATGGTCTGCATGGTGCGAGATGAGCAAGATGGTCCCTGAAAATTTTCTGCATAACTGTTCAGGATCCAATCCGATGTTTTTATAGTTATGGTCGCTTCGGTAAATGTTGTGGACGATTCGAGACCTAAGAAACTTTGTACTAAATATGTTAAAGAGCACTTTCCTAATTCTTTCTTTTGGCCCATCATTATTTTCTGAATTGATTGAGTGTAACCCATCAATGTATAAATAACTCTTTTCGCTTCGTATTGTTTCGCC